CGCTTGGGGGGGGGGGATGGTGCAAATTATATACGCGAGCGCGCTGGCGGGCAAGAAAACGATGTTTGATGCGATTGGGCAGGTCGTGCGCGCACCAGAAAGCAAAGGAACAGCGTTTCTCCCTAACTACTCATATTTCCCATCGGTTTGAGAAAACTTATCTGCAGGACGCGTACTTAGCAAAACACGACGACCACCACACGCGTCAGTCGTGCTTCCCCCATAGAGGCTCTCAATCACGGGTACGGCTGGGGTTCCACCGGCGGTACATCACTGGTGCCACGCGGTACTGGCTCACCCATTGCGCCACGTCATCAATTTCCTCTGCCTCGTCGGTGTCAGGAGCAGTGACGTAGCACACCACTAGAGTCTTATTCACAGTACCAATCACTCTAGCCACTGTGGCCATTTCTGTCCATTGTGGCTGGTGGTGGCGACTAACCACTTTAATCGCGAACTCAGCGTGGCCAAATACAGGACCTCTTTTATAGAGTAAGAATTCAGCACCAAATTTGAGGCCATCACGTACACACCATCCGAGACTGCGGAAGTAATGGTAGGCAGCGTATTCGATACGACCCGCAGGCCCAAGCTGGCGACTAATGGCACTAGCAGTAAGGTTAGAATGGACCCGAATAGAGCCTAAATGGAGGAGCCAAAGGGTTTCCACCGCCAGTAATTGGAGGTACTCAAGATCAGCAATAGCAGCGTTTTCAGAGGTGTCAGTGACAACACGAGTAACGCTGCCAGCAGCGACATTGGTATTGTCATTAGTATTATCTCTGGTGGTCTCTGTAGTCTCCTTAGGGTCTTTGGTAGTCTCCCTGGAAGTCCCTTTCGTCGGAGTATTGCCTTTGCGGAGGTCTTCGACGGTCACTCTAAGCTTTTCGAGCTCCTTAACCTCCTCCTCGTTGAGCTCATGTTTACGGTGTCTGATTTCCAATTGCTGGAGCTGAGCCCGAAGCTGTTTAAACTGCTGACGCTCCTGGCGTCTAGCTACCGTCACCGCTTCAAGTGCCGGTGACAGCGTCAGTGTCGACGTCAGAGCTTCTTGCTGCTGCTGATGACGTTGGCGCCAGGTGGGTTCCAGCCGCAGGAGCACCCCTTTACCGTAGAAGCCCAGACGCCACAAGCGGAGCATCGCCGGCTCTGACGTCACTTTGAACACTGAACCGTCAGCGGTGACGTCCACGGGACTAGGAGTGGGAGAATGACAGAGGTAAGATGCTAGCTTATACGCGAAATAAAGCCACAGCACCGGGTTGTGGGGGTACACCTCGGGGAGAAGGTACACCTCCACCGGCACCGGGTGGGGGTAGAGGTGGTTTAGGTGGCGGGCGGGGCCGTTTTTGCCCATTTGGTATAGATTCTGAAGGAGGGTTAGTATCAGATACCGTTGTAGTCCATTGAAATTAATCAATAATTATGCTATCATGGATCAAGCATGGTTATAGTGTCTTCACTTACAAGTTTGGTGGTAGTTGAAAAAACGCGATGGCCGACGGTTATTTTATAAGTTGACGTACTGCAGGTAAGCTATTAGGGTTGAACAAATTCGACAACTAACGTCCATAGCCTACATAGAATGAAGGAATAAATTCTAATTTATGTCAATTGAAACGTCTCTTTATTATGCTTTCAATAACTATGATGAATACAATTTCAATTGCTTCCATACTTGTAATAATCGTCTTCTGGCGAGGACTTACCCACAATCAACTAACGTAGTAAATTTCGAATAATTTTCACCTACTTGTATTCACTTACTCAACTCAATCATTGAAGTCAATTGGTCAATCTAAAACTTTCAAATACCGAGTTTTATTGGAATTGTTGTAGTCTCTATAGTACCACCACTGGTCCCACGGTGCGCGCGGTATGACCTTCACTTGCCACCACTGCCACACCGAGGTTGAGCTTGACCCGCTGTTGACCAACCTCAATAAGGCACAGATTTCACTCCTCGTGGCCAAGACTCACCAGTGCCAGCCTCAGCCTCATAATGCAGCGCTGCCAGCACTGTATCTACCGTCAGGACGACTAGATACTCTCCGCCAGGCGATTGGCGAATCTGCCTCCCAACCGCTATATTCACGCAATCTAATTGAACTGGAGAACGATGATGATGACGATGATGACGATTATGATTACGGTATCCCCGATTTGGCACTGCCGCCGCTGCCATCAAGGGAACTGCCCCTGTCTCCCTTAGCGAGCGCCTTTGACGAATTGGATGCTAGTTTCGTGATGCTTCGTGATGATATCACGGGCCTGAGTCCTGATAATCAACCTGAAACTAATGGTCACGCCAGCGATACGTTTTCCAAGCGGATTAAAGTACTTACTCATATCTTTCAGATCCTATCGCTGACCACTACTGAAGACCACCCATTGTCGGGAGACTGTGCTGATCTTTTAGTGGAGAACTACAAATTGAAGTATGACCATACTCAACGTGAGAAAGAGCTCTATGGGAACTTCCTCGCCAAACTCCAACAGAAACACCAACTGGCGCCTCACACCGACGTCGATACTAAGCTAGATGATGCTCAAACCCAGCTCAATGAACTTAAAACCATTGAGGCGACTAAGATTGATGAATTGGTTGAACTTGAGAACCACCAAGCAGAATTACAACAACAATTGAAGTCGCTTACTGGGGAACTTCAACGCCTCCAGCTGGGAGAATTGGAACAGGCACTTGTACGGCGAAACCTAGCTGCTTATGACGCCACGATCTCGTCGCTGCGGCTAGCCCAGACTCAGCTGGTGTATAAGTCTCGCCTTGACCAATTGGACCGGTTACGTCATATCGACGTGTTTGCGTTATTATTCAATATTAGCGTTACCGACGATGGCTATGGCTCTATAAACGGCTACCGTTTAGGTCACCATATCGTGTGGCTGGAAGTAAACGCCGCTTTGGGTCAAGTGGTGCTTTTGCTTGTATTCCTCATTAAGAAGCTCTCAGTGAATCTAGTGGACTTTAAACTAGTTCCCATCGGGCTGAAACTGCAAATCATCAAGTACCAGACGAAACCCCCCGACGTTCCTGGTGAACGTCGCACTAAAAGTGTGCTTAACTTATACCTGTCGAATGAGTTCTCGTTAGGCCGCTTGTTTAATTTCAATAAGCTCGACGTGCTGATGATTGCCGTGGTGGAGATTGTGCTTCAAATTCAAGAACGGCTCTACCAATTAGATGGCGATATTGAGCTTCCCTACCCAATGAGTGCCCAGGGTTTGGTGGGAGGTAAACTGGTGCGGGTCACCAGTAACCACGAGTGGACCGAAGGGTGTAAACACTTGTTGATTAATTTGAAGTGGATGTTGACTTGGGTGAAGTCAAGGGGAGAATAATCATGCAATAGTTTGTATAATAAATTAGCATACACCGAGTCATCAAATAAGTAAAAGTAGATGTAGATAATGAACAATCACAATCAAATATTACGCTACTGGGTGTGGGTATTGTGGTTCATTTGAGTGACAGCTGAAGCAACTCGTGCTAACATGAACGCTTGACGGTACAATCTTGATTGTCACACAAACGAATTTCATAAACAAACATATATCCATACTTAGATCAGAGTAAATTCTGTGTAATTACCAATATTTGAGATCATAATAACAACAAGTCTCAGTAACTAGAATTTGCTATTCATTTGAAATTGAAAAAATGCCAACAATAACCATTCGAAAATGCACGTAATTATCGTATATCTTAATTATTGTCCTCGCTTTTGTACGTAGGTGCGACCCAAAATGGACCCCGCACTGACCCCTCGACACCCACACTATTTTTTTTTTATTCTATTTTTCACCCGCCCTGAAGAATCAGCCGGACGCGACCCTTGCGTCACCCCAGAAGGAAGACAACCAAGGCCAATCAAATCTCAAGACAATTCCATAAATAGTTATAAACAGGAACTATCAACAGGCTCCTAATATCTATTACTTGAATCCATTTCGTATTCTTGATTTAATTCATAGTTAGCTTGTTGTTACCCGTTGAGAAGCCTCACGTGGAGGGTGTTTTAGGTGCAGCCTCACCCCTCCTCGAGCGTGTCGACTGCATGCAGGGCGAACACCTCATACTCCACGTCCACACATACGGTTCACCAACACCAATCAATAGCCCTTTGAAATTGGTCATGGCGCTTCCCTCGGTTTCACGTCCAGTGCTGCTGCAACCGCTGTCCCAGCTAAGGCTTGACGAGTCGCTGGCAGCGACGCTCACCGCTCCTAGCTCCGCCACTACCAATGACGAGATCGACCCGTTACACCGAGATCACGACACTCCCAGGTTCCCCGCTGACCCGGAGTCGACTAATCGATCGTTCGAAACGACTAATGAAACCTCCCCGGAAGTGTATGTGGCCCAGGAGTCCCAATACATCACCAATACCGCTCAGGCCCGAAAGCCGCTGGAACTGTCGCTGGTAGGCAGCCACGACGACCAGGCGTACTGGGAGGAGATGGCGCTGACACAAGCGGTTACCAGATCCCATTTGCAACCACCAATGTCGTCACTGTCGCAAATTAGAGGGTCTTTACCCAGTTTACCCAATTGGCCCACTTCCCCAATAAGGTCAGGCTTAGACGGTTCTCAATGGCAAGTACAAGCACAAGCACCGTCCAAGTCTCTGCAATTGCTTGTCTCGCAAGATCTGGCGTTCCAGCTGCTGAGTGTGGGCCAAGCCGTGGACGAAATGGACCACGTACGCCTGATTCACCTGATGTTGATACTAAAGCAGCAGTTGCCGTCGTCGCCGCCTGCTTCGATACTGCTGGAATCGCCTCGCACTACCAGGTTACCGCTGATCCTGCAAGTGGTATCGCCTGGACTTGGTTCTCGTCGAGCGTCTCTGGGTCTCGTGACTCTGATTACTACGAAGAGGGCTCTGTCTGTTGGTTCCCCCACTATATCAAGAAAGTCCTTAAAAAAGGAGTTGACCAGTCTCAACTTCCCTAGACGCCGGCGAGCCAGTACTTTACTCCCCACCCCAGCAACTAGCATCGATCTGTCAATTACTCACGCCTTGGTCAACAACAAACCTTTCCAAAAGACTAAGGTCAAGATTGAGACTGATGGTGATTACCAACCAGCTACGATACCCATTCCCACTACCCCGAAAAAGCGTCTGAGACGCTCATCACCGGCCTCCATCGACCAACCTTCCACTGCTAAAGCTAAGCTGAAGGTGACCAAGATCCCATTCTACCCTCGACAACTCAGTTTTCAAAACCAGTGGCCCCACAGTTTTCCCATTACCATTCACTATACACAGAAACGCCCGCGCAAGTCGCGTGCTGAAGGGTGCTGGACGTGTCGTCTCCGCAAAAAAACCTGTCCTCGCAACGGCCCCGTGTGCCACACCTGTGCTCGCTTAAACCTCGCCTGTGACTACCTGGAGGTGCGGCCAATGTACATGGACGTGCCCGGAGCACGTGCCGCCAAGCTCGCCGAGATCCGCCTGGTCACCGACCACAAGAAGGTCGAACACTTGCGCGAGATCCACCGATAGCTTAAAAATTGAGGATGTCCAGATACTGGAGACAGATGTCGCCATACTTGTCTAAGAACTTCGGGTCAAGTACCGAGCACAGCATCGTCCCTTCGGGGATCTTGTAGCGGTCACACACCTTGCGGAACGCCGGTTCAAAAGATGTAGCATCGCGTAGGTTTACCGCGTGGTTAGTCAAATCAATCTCAATTAATAAACCTCGGAAATTACCGTGAAGAAACACATTTGACGTTCTAATGGTCAAATTACCGTTTTCAAGCTCATAAATGTTACCCCCATCACCCTTCACTAATTGACGTAAAGTCCATAAACTCTGAAGTCTTTCGCTAACAAACACGTCAAACGGGTCATTAAAACCAGTAGTGGCTCCGTCAGTCAAGTGTTCGTCAGGTACGTATAAGTGTTCGTCGATATTGGCGTCGTTGGGTCCCCTGGTTTGTTTACTGGCTTTGACTTCTTCCTCAATAAGCGTGGGAGCCACACATATCAGTCTCCGATTGATAAGGGTGATCGAGGCGCCACTTAAGTAGCTAGGAACCAAAGTATAGAGGAATTTGAGCTCGTCCAGCACCGATTCTGTCTCGGCGATATCTTCAGCTACCGCGTAGGGGTTATTGCGGAAGATCTTAAACAGGAAGTTCCACTTGCCTCTGATGTTGGGGAGCTCATTCTGGAGCTGGTCATGAAACTGGGTGATGGTTTCCGGGGTGGCTTTCTGGACAAGGATGACACATGATACCATCGCGACCAACGACACCGTCCAACAACAGTGCGGCTTATGAACAAAACAACCCGGTTGACAAAACGTAGAAAATGTAACTTAAGATTAATAGATTCAGCACTGACAAATGTAGAGATGAATAGCTCCACTAAATTGAATCAATTGACGTCAATTAGATAGCAGAAGTCTATTATATCAGACTTACCTCGATGGATTTAAAAAAATGATGACACCGACGTGATTCGAACACGCGCATCTTACGATAACAGAAACCCCAACCTCACAGTTGAGAAGCTTAAACGCTTGAGTCTGCCGCCTTAGACCACTCGGCCACAGTGCCTTGGTTGAGAGCCCGGAAACAAAAGCACTACTGGAGTTAGAAGAATAAAGACAATCACGTCGCCAAATCGCCTCCAATCTCAGTTACAAATTCAAATATCAGTAATTTAAAGGGTTTTAAACTCAATATATATCAGGTTTTACCCCAAATGAACTGTGGCGCTGTTGCCATCCTCTGTATTACTTGTGACCACCGCGTTTTTGACCACAATATAGCCGTCCATGCCGCGACCAACATTACCCAAATGTTTGAGTTGTCGCCGGCTCCGGATCCAAGTACGTGAGCCATTCAGTTTCGGGGTTTTTAGATCTGCTGACTAACGATAGTGTGACTACCAAACACCCTGCGAATACTGTGCTTCTCGCAATTTAGAGTGTGTTTACCTCAAGACGCCACCACCGAAAACGGCGATCAAATGGACTGCCCCACAATCCCGTCTGCAAACATCATCAGCTGAACCTAGTGAATTAACAAAGGATAACGTGAAGAGTGCTCAAGCCTCAGAAAATGTACCACTTCCAGAGGAAGAAATGGAGGAGGAACTTCTACTGCTAGAACTTATGAACGCCAACGAAATAGTCGACGAATTGTATCGTGTGGGGTTTGAAGACGAATTGTCTACTGACACTGACCTACATTCGGTGATTCTAGCGAATTTGTTCCAGGTACCCGAGACATTATTATGGAGTAAAATCCATACGCTTTTACCTAATAAACCAAACATGACCTTGCTAGAGTTTACCGTTGTTCGGTTTTTGGTTGATATGTGTATGCGCCATCACGCTGCCAGCGGTAACTCTCCCAAGGTGGAGATATGGGGCGAGTACCGAGCGTCGCTCTACAGTTCGCTGGAGTTAATCCAGCTGGGGCTATACGCGTATCTGGGGATGAAGTTGTTGAGCAACCACAACCACCACTATCTATTAGATCACGAACCGATTGATGACGGCCTGGAGCTATCAATTGCTAAGATTTACACATTTTCCATGAGCCTGTACAACTACTTGTTGAAGGCAGTGAGTCAATCGATGGGCCGGGTACTTGCTAATATGTGTACCCAAACCGAGGCATTAGTTCTCGACACATCGCTAGGGCTAGTGATGTTAATCTTGGGCAGTCTACCACCAGGCACGTGCCCTTTAATTGACTTCACACAAAACGGAAACGATTTCATCGCCTACACGAGGGGGTACCTTCGAACTTACACAGCAATACTTCACCATGTGCGAAATCTGCCGTTTGAGTGGCCTTGTCCTCCGACTAACTGTCCAGCGCTACCGTTCTTCGTTGAAATATTGCAGTTTATTGATACCCATTCTAGTCAATTAGGAGCTGCCGATGAAGCTCTTATGATTAAAGATGCATTCGCTATACTTGCCCGCAACGTTTATACCGCTTCCGTGTCATTAAACCCTGACTACTACTACTACATTTTCTGCTTGATGAACGATGGCTTTTGGGATCTAGTGTATGCCCAACAGCCACTCGCCCTCAGTTGGCTAAACGTGTTGGCTGCCTATGCTCAACTATTCAAGTTTTATTACATTCGCGATCAGAACATCTGGGTTGATTACATGGACTGGTATCGTGCGTGGCATGGTCATAGCTTTGCTTGGGATGAGCCGCTATATCAGGTGATCGTAGAGCAAGGGTTTGTCGTCGATGACTATGCCCTTTTGCGCTCATTCAACCCTCTTGGGAGTACCACAATTCCTCAACTCTTGCAATGAGCTCTGATTTCAGTCACAGATTCAAATCTGGACGAAAGCTACTAATGTCAATATAAATCCTTGCTGCACAATACCAACGCTTTCCACAAGAGATATCATTGTGATCACTTAATACACAACTGGAGCTTGGTCAACTCAATCAGTCACCTTCCAAACACAACTGAATTAGACCGTCTTCTGAGACTGTGTAACTCAGTGACTTTTTCAAATCTGCCAGTTAAGCTGCATCTTCAAGTTTTCAAAGTTGATCGTCAAACCTGATCATCACCAACACGTGTGACGTTATCGGGACCCGGAATCAAATGAATCACTCGGTTTTGCTCAAAACGGTTACTTGATCGTCATTTTACGTGACTTTTGTTTCAGTATCGGCATACGGGTGCAGGTGGTTCTTCCGTATCCGATCATGTTCGCATTGCTAAGATCGACACTATGAATCGGATACCATAATGCCGATGTTGGCCGCTGGCTGTATTTCCGTTATCACCAGGAGAGCAGCCTTGTACTATTACCACCGGCTCGGCTAACTTTATCAGCCCGCTCCGCGGAAGTGTGGGGGAGAGAGACGGATTTAATGAGTTTAACCCTTATTCTCCTCCCAATTTGAAACTCGGGTGGTGTGTAAAAGGTAATAATGATAACGATGGCGCCGAGTAATTACTCGATTAAGTGGTAATGATCTACAGATGGGGAAGGCTTGTGGTTCTGATAGATGATTGAACGGGGCTTTGGCTGCGTTTTGTCGATTACCTAAGCGCCGATAACTCGACATAGCCACCAGATAGAGTAACTTCGGAGAAGCAGCCTCCGCATATGGGCCTTCCAACTATATAAACTATTAAACTTTCGAATCATTCATCATTATCGCCAAGAAATTCACTCCATACGATGAGGGCATTCAAAAAGGCCTACAGCACCTCATTCATTCCGGTGAATGCTAGTGGTGCTGTTGACGCCACCAACGACTTGGTGGTTGGGGGCCACGACTATTTCGGGGCCTGCACTCACTATGGACAAGCGTGTGAGGAGATCCTACAAAGAACAGGTCGCGAGAACCCGTGTATGCTTTTGCTTTATGCTCGCACCATCTACTTGGCGGTGATGTCTACAGAAACCAGTAACCCGCTCGTGGTGCGGCAATCGGTGATATTGCTTGAACAAGCTAAGTGCTTGCTATCTGTGGCTCATCACAAGGCTAGAACCGAAAAGCTTGCTCAATTTAGCTTGGTGTTGTTTGATAAAGTCGAACAATTACAACTGCAATTGAAGCAAATGGCCATTCAACTTGAAAATGTACAATTGAGTGAAGCCGAATTTGAGTACATCATCGCCGAAAAAGCGGTGCTTGTCGCTGACGGTTAAATTTAATGCATTTCCCCCCTCTGCCTATTTATAAATTCATGCTGGTTTGTTTTTGTCTCGGAGTTTCGGAGTTGTTAAGTTTCAGTCCTATGATTTTTATATTTTCTTTTATTTTATAGTCAAAAATTTCCCCAATTGACACTAAACAGTAGAAGATGTGGTTTGATCTCAGAGTCCTTGGCAATGCACATTATTTTTAGCTTTGGGAAACTCCCATGAGGAGAGTGTGACTCAGTGATCTGCCAGTCTAGCGCAGAGTGACCTGTCACTTATGCGTGCGATGTGATGCCTGTTGAGATCAACAATATGGCTGATGCAAGACACTGGCTATTTAGGGGGTTGCTAACCAGTTCAGGGCAAGTCAAATTACACATAACCATCAGCCCACAAACCCATTGTTGCTATTGTACAACCTTTTCTGAGAGTTTTGTGGGTGTCGTAAACCGTTGCACCCACGCCCCCCTTTAGGGCGTGAGCCGTCTTGTACATACTGCATAAAAGCTAATTTTTCGTTAGTGACTGGTACCACACCATTTTGCTCTTGGCACATTTGAATGTGGTCGAACCTTCGAGAATGGATACGACAAAAGTCTATGTGGAAGGGAAGGGTAGCTAGTTGAATCTTACGCCTCGGGAATTGAACTGACCCATGTGGGAGACGAATTCCTCCGTAGACCCGAAGCTCTGTATACGCTGGTCGCGTTTGCTATAGCCGAAACTCAATTGCTAAAGTCCATCGTACTGGAGGGGAACAGGTTTCCGCCGTTCACCCGAGGTTTACACGTAGTATTTTGGTGGGCTTGACACATCCAGCCTCCAGTGATCTGGATGCGCTTACATCAAAAACATCATTGCGTTTGCGGGACAATTCTCGGAGGGCAATTTCACCAGACACATGGCAAAGCACTGGGGGAGAGCAGTACCCCTATACCTCAGCAATTTAGCGCCGTCAATGCGTTCTCCTTTTCCATTGTTAGTTTAAGTTAAACCTGGTTAAAAATTCACGTGTTCATTTCTCGTAATTGTCCCGGTCCGCTCGTCCCTTGAGCCGGGCTTGATTCAATTTTTTTTTTCGCTTGCCATCGCAAAAAGGCAAGGTATTTTGATTTCCGCCCCCCGCGCCTAGCCGCCTTACACATGTGCTCGGCATCACTTTCCATGCACGGTGTACAGAGAGCGTGCTAAGGCAGTGAGACATGTGGCGTCTCGGGTAACGGCGGGCCTCGCCGTAGTAAAGGCCACAACACGGAAACGGTAAATTACAATAGTTTAATTAAGGGGAACGGGAACGGGTTCCACCAGAGGGCGTAAACAATGACACAATGAGGGAATAAAAGAATACGAGCAAAGGGGAAAGGGATTGCGTGTATGGAGTTACGGTCGTTTATAGGATCAATTGGGTAGGTGGTCACTAAGCTTGTGCGTACCCCTCTCCCGGGGGGGTCTCCAGATTTTTCGGAGATGGGGGATCTGTTGTTGGTAAAAAAAAGCGTGGGGTTATGAGACGCACCCGTGCTGCAAACTTCCGTGAGTCCGAAAACTCCTCGGAGTCGACCCTCTTGAGTATTGACCTACGTGGCTGGTCTAAATAGATTGAGGGAATTAAAATATCAACAACCATTGTTTACGTTAACAACTAACAATGGACATTACGCTATTTTGTTCCACGGTACTCGTGGCATTGCCACACCACCAAAAACTGTGGGCGGCACCGCCTTTCGCAACTTGCCTTAAAAAAGTTTTTTTCTGGAAGATGCACCGGGAGCCATGAGGTAGACGGCGCTCGCTACTTAACCCCCGAAACGCCATAGCCGCCATAGTGTGCCCCACGCCTCAAAAAAAACCCACACCGACAACCTTGTCTTAGTCTTGCAACTAATGACCTTGACTTGTTTCAGTCCCAGTAGGTCCCTTCTTTCTCTTGTCCCCTCCCGTTTGCTAGCGCTCGCTTGCCTTCTCCCAAAGAGTCCAGGCCCTGCCGCTCCCCACAAACTGGCCGTGAGTAAGCGCTGGTGTGCGTCCTGCACACACAGACAAAGAAACGAAAGGCGCGCACCTTGCCGCTAGTCCGCCCTTGGCACCCTATATAACCAGTGACCCCTCCCCCTGCTACGAGGCTGACGATGAATTCCATCACCTGTTTACCCATTGAGGTCGTCGAGCGGATACTCGACCATACCGACCGCCCGTCGCAACTAGCGCTCGCCCGCACTCTGCGAGCGTTCCGCCACGTCGTCAACCGGCGCCTCTATAAGCAGATCATGTTGGTGAACCAGCCCATCCAGAAAGACGACTATACCACGCTCGCCCTTGACCGCTTACAAAAGTTCTGTGACGAGCTCTCGCCGTATAACTTCCAATTCATCAACAAAGTGATCATCCAGACCCAGCTGGACCCGCTGGCGCTGATCCTGTACACCGGGTTGTACAAGAAGATGTTACGCCTCTGGGACTTGTTGCCGCGCCACCAGATCACCGTGATCAACTACGACTTGAACAACTTGCGCATCCACCAGCTGCTCAACCAGTACATCTACAAGTACACCCTGCACTACGTCATCGAGGACCTGTGTCTCGACCAGACCCACATCAACTATAAGATCAACAACTTGCACAACTGGATGATCTTTGACTACTCCGAGCTTAACCAGTTGCCGGTGAACCCTAACTTGAGGGAATTGCATATTTTCATTGAACGCCTGAACCACCAAATGTCGAAACAAGATGACGTCCCGCTTAAAGTGTTGCGCAACTTCGCCAATTTGGAACTGCTCTACTTGACCACCCCGTTGGCCACGTCGCAATTGCAACGCTACTTCGCCAACTTTGACTTTGCCGGCCACGGTCCCGTGTTCTCGCAATTGCGCCAGTTGCTGGTGTGCAACTTGCACTCGTACAAGGACCACCTGCTTTTAACTTACGAAGGCATGAGCCGCATCTTGCCGTTTGAACAACTCGAGCTGCTCGAGCTCAAGTTGTCGTGTACCCATCACGACTGCGACTGCATCCTCCAATTCTTCATCGACATGCCCTACATGCCCAACTTGAAGCACTTCATGTTGATCAACACCAACACCAAGCTGCTGCAGCTGAACATGGCCCAGTACCAGCAGTTGCTCGAACTGCCGGAGTTCTTCCGCAAGATCGACCACTGCGAGCTGCTCTACCTCAACATCAACGAGTTGAACACGTTGACGTTAGGGGTGCGCTCCGAGTTCAAGTTCTCTAAGTTGTGCGAGCAATTCAAGTCCTTTGAACAGCTCAAGCTGGTGACGCTCCCTGATTTCTTTAATCACTGGCTCGCCACGGTGCCTGACTTCTTTGACCAAACGATGAACGTGTGCAAATGCACTGAGTGCATTGAGACCCGCGGCCATTTCGCTAAGCGGGCGAAGATGTTCTCCCCTCGTCTGGAAGCGCCCTTGGCTCCCGTGACCCCGGACCAAGAAGACACCAACCCCAGCAACACCTTGCTCACCAACGAGCTGCTGGTGAAGTACCTCAACTACATCGCCTCGCAAGCCAAAAAGCAGCACCGCTACATCAACGAGAACTTGAGCCTGATCAACCTGATCATCACGCTGGCGGAGAAGCCCGTGATGAAGGACCTGTCCCTCGAACGCTACAAGCGCTTGTTCAGCCACAATTACGTCGGCTACTTGGCCCGCACCATCAAGGGCGACCAGCCCGAGATGAAGGTGATCTTGGGCGGCATGGAATTTTAACGAATTTAACGACCTACGACTCGATCCACGACTCCATAATGATAGAATTACAATGCATACGGGGTGTCCGCCTGGGTAGCGGCCCCACTTAACTTTAAGGAATCATTGTAGCAAAAACAATTGTAGCAAAAACCGCCCAGAGAGGGTTGGCTAGGAGGGGAACGCCGACACCCGTTTTACCCCACACTTTTGCGCATGCCCTTTTCTCAGTAGTGTTGCCGTGAAATTCCGCACCGGAAGGCGATCTCCGTAACGGAAAAACCTAGCGAATTTGAGTGACGAAATCTACAGTCACTGTTAGCTTCATTTTTTAGTTTCCGAGGATTTGTTGGGGTGACGTGGCAGGCCCCTATCCCTGGGTTTGCGGGAATAATTACAATTAGACCATTGTTTGCCGCAACCAATCGGAAACAGAGCGAAGCAAGGTGTCTTCATGGTGACGTCGGCAACCAAAAATAAGTGGAATCACAGGACTTAAGGGGAGCCATGACGAAAATCTATGATAAAAAAGGAGTCGGACGGTGGCCTGGCTCCCGGTGCATCGGCTGTGCTGGCATTCATTTGGTAGTGTGCGTGCCACTAAAGCGATCTGACGTAAAGTCGAGTGGGTCTAGTCTCTGTACACCTCCGTATTCTATTTTTGGATACATCTCCAGTTACTCTTCGATCCTTCTCTGATCACTCTAAGCTAAGACCAATTAGTACGAGTATGGTTCGTGGGCATTATAGCCCGAAATGAGTCATCAGCGCACCGCAGAGATTAAAGTAAACTCACTAAGACAAACTCACCAAAGACATCATGGTCGAAAATCAGCTCCCTCGTCCGATCCCGTTGGAGACGTTTAGCTTTGAGTCGGCAGTGGTGGCCGAGTCATCATCGACAGCGGCCATCGCCACGGGGGCGATTGCCCACCGCCATAAACACTCGTCTATCAACACTCAAACAGATGAGGTGCTGTCCTCGGAATTGATGTATGGCAAGGAGAAGGACCCGGCCAATTTCCCCGACGGCGGCGTGCTGGCGTACCTGGTATTGTTCGGGTCGTTTTGTGGCTTGTTCACCGCATTTGGCGTGGCTAATTCCGCAGGTCCCATCGAGTCGTACATCAAAAGCCACCAGTTGGCAGGCGTCGACCAGACGCTGATCTCATGGGTGTTCTCGTTACACATGGCCATCTTATATTTTGGTGGGGTGGTCTTTGGCCCCATGTTCGATAGGTTTGGCGCTAGATTACCGTTATTTATTGGCCTGGTGCTCACCACGGGGGGTCTCTTGCTGTTGGCTCAGCTGACCAAATTAGTCCATTTCATCATGTCCTACGGGGTGTGTACTGCCCTTGGGTGTCTGATTATGATGCTGCCGACGGTAGGAGCCATCTCTCATTGGTTTCTTCGAAAACGGGCAATGGCATCATCGGTGGCCACCATGGGAGGCTTGGTAGCGGGGGCAGTGTTCTGTGCCACCTTACCTAAACTCTACGAGACTATCGGCTACGCCTGGGCCATCAGAACCATCGCCTTAATCTGCTGTGGCAGTCTGATCCTCTCAGTGATCTTTTGTAAAGAAAGAGTGTTAATGACTCCCTCGGAAAACCAACCACCACAATCAAGACTTAAGCTGTTCCTCAACTTTGTTCGCAACTTATTGGACTTGTCGTTACTCACAAACAAGCAGTTCTTGTTCCTCGCCGCCGCCTCGGGGCTCGCCGAAATCGTGTGTATGCTGACGCTCACCTACTTGTCTTCGTACGCCATCAACCACGGCGTGTCGTTTTCTGCCGCCAGTTTGTTGATTACCATCGTCACCGTGAGTGGCATTCCTGCCCGGATAGTCTCAGGGTGGATGGCGGATCGGTGGGGCCGGTTCAATATGATGTTGGCCAACGCGATCCTTTCGACGCTCGTCATCTTCGCTCTCTGGTTCCCAGCCAAGGGTTCGGTGGCGTTTCTCTATGTGTTTGGCGTGTTCTTCGGGATATTCTCCTCGGCAGTAGTGCTGCTTATCCCCGCCTGTGCTGGGCAGATTTGCAGCGCCGACAACTTCGGGAAAGTGTACGGCACCTTATACTTTGTGTTGGCGTTTGTCATCATGGTGGGGATGTACTTGGCGTCGGTGGTAATCAGCTATGGCTCCGAGATCGACTACGGTCATTTGGTGTTGTATGAGGGTGGCATCAGTGCTGGCTCTGCCGTGGCGTGGTTGCTTGCCCGCTGGCTGGTGGTGGGCTGGAACTGGTGCAAGTTTTAGCTTTCGTAGTCTATTATCAAATGTAGAACCGTAGTCTATCCACCCACTTAGTAGGGACATTGTACTACTCGAGACGTCACCGATCGATCTCTCGGGATCGTTCCCTCCTCTCCGAGACTTTCCCCTTTATTTTTTCTATCTAATGTTATAGGGCTAACTCAACCATAGTCTACTTCAGCACAGCTTTGGCACAGTTATGGCACAGCATTGGCACACCCATTGCAGACCTCCAACACTTGCTCAGTGCGAATAGCACGCCTGGTAGAAAAAGGGAAAAGACTGTAGCCTGTGTTTGGTGTTGGGACTGTTGCAGCTGGAACCAATTTGTAGCCGTTACCGCTGTGTTGGTGTGGCACTTGGTGGACATTCTTACCATCAACTCTGCCATATATCAGCCCAGTTTGAGTCCACCGTAACTTGTTACCGACCGCAGAGACTTAGACGAGATACACGGTGGCTATAAAAATGAAAAACGAAAGCCTAGAATGGGCTTTGGGACTACTTAGGTATCAATCTAACTTGGATTTTGCTTACTTTGGTCAATTTACTTTGAAGGCACCGACGCAAATACCGTTAAGGCCTAGGCAATCCAGTACCAAACCTTCTCAATCCAATTCTTCGGCACCGGCAACGGCGTGTTGCGGTCTTCTGCCTCGATCAAATCCAAACCGGTGGAGCAATCGATCTCGGGGATAGGGATTAGCCACTTTTTATCCTTCAAATAGAACACGGTATAGAGCCGGTGAGCTGTATAGAGGAAGAATACGATGGGTAATGTGATGTAGGCAGCGACAAAGTCGGCGCCATTAAAGTTGAAAAACACCATGAACCCGTTGGTGATACTGATAAGCGATACCATGAAGATTGCGTAGTACGCACACCACGGCAGAAGCGACGCTCGATACGTAACTCGGGTGTCCAAGCCATTATACGTGATGGCTTTTCTCCACCGTAAGTAGGCAAAGCAGACAAACACCCACGAGATAAACCCGGAAATGGTGGAGATATTGGAGAACCAGTTGAACGCCGTCGCTGACGAGTTTGATACATTTAAGTACGCCAAGAAGCCAAGCAACGACAGCACCGCCACGGAATAGTACGGAATGCCAAAGCGATTTACTTTCAAAAACACTTTGGGAGCGAGGCCCCGGTTCGCCAACGAATACATCGTTCTCAGTGCAGTAAACAAGAACGAGTTACCTGAAGAGGCAGCCGACGTCAAGATGGCGGCGTTGACGATGTGGTTTAGGACGGGGATACCGGCGTTAGTGATTCCAAGCACGAAGGGAGAAGCCGACGTGTACGAGGCACCGCCCAACAATCGCGGGTCTTTGGAGTCAACGATTACTCCAATAACGATGGTACCGAAACAGTAGAAAAAGATTAAACGGTACACGAAACGACGGGCAGCTTTCGGGATATTGTGTCTAGGCTTTTCACATTCACCACCGGCAGCAGCGATCAACTCGGGAGAGCAGATGAACGCAAAACCGGAGCGGATAACTGCCCGCCAGAAGGCCAAAAAGCGACCAGTGGCACCGGCAATCTCAATTATGTTATCGTTGTCACCACGGTAGAAAAATTGGCGGAAAGGGTAGTCTCTCCAATACCAAAAACCAAGGACACTCGTTTGGTTGGGACCACCACCAAAGAATAGGACAACTCCCAAAATGAGCAAACCCGTCAACGTGATAAGCTTGATACTGGCAAACCAGAACTCCGCCTCACCAAAGAATTTCACCGATGTGAAGTTCAAGATCAAAATGACGGCTAAGATAATCGTGATCCACACAGCGATATTCACCAGTTGGATCCAGTACTCAATAACGTACGCAGCTGCCACCACTTCGGCCGCCACCAACATCAGGAAGGCGTACCAATAGTTCCAACCAATGGCAAAGCCAAACAGCGTACTTAAGTTATCGTAGACAAAGGTCATGGGCCCGTTACCGGGGATCGGCAAGAAGGTGATCATTTCCGCCATGATTTGCATCACACACCAGATGATTGTCGACATGAACACAAACGCTAAGAATAAGGCTGCTGGCCCCGATTGCAACGTCAATCCTGAGCCCACAAATAATCCGGTACCAATGGCCCCTCCAATGGCAATCAACTGGACGTGTCTCAGCTTCAACCCCCGCTTAAGCTGGAATTGTGGTTCGCCGCCCTCGCCAGCTTTACCATCTTCGATGGAAATAACTCTCAGATTGGCAATCGAAATATCTCCATAGAACAGGTGCCGCAGACGGGCAATCAGCGTCGACGAGCCTGCCGACGACTCGACGATGGTGAAGTTCTTTTCACCTTTAGAAGCCATGCGGTGTCAATGGGTAGATCTTTGGGAATCCGGGGCATTATTTATGTAATCTCGTCATTGACTGGTGATGACGGTGAACTGTGCTGCACACCCCGCGGTTTATGCGGGCTGTCATTAACAGCATGCACAACTTTTCTTGTTTCTTGGAACGGCTGAACAAAAATTGCTTGGAAATTTGGGGTACAAAGAGACTTTGAGTATTGTTGTTATGATAACCGTAGGAAACTCAATATTTAGTCGCTTTTTGGCATCGATTTGATGGAAACTGAATGCAACTTTTGAATTAACTGATGCGTCTCGCAAAAACTATGACTAGATAGGCTTCGTCCAAGACTTTAAAGTGGAGAACCAAAGGTTGGCATCGCTTGACACTCCCTAAACTTGTAATTCTTGGCTAGCTACTCAACGAGATATGAGGTCGTCTAAGCGAGATCTACATTATGGGGAATTCAATCATCTCGTCTTTGTAGGGAAATCACGCCGTTTGTGGGGAAGTTTACGCACGACCCGTAGCCACTGAGAAACACCAGAAGCAGTGGGATAATCAGCGATTCAATATGTAGATAACTATTACATCCCCCTTTCTCATAGACCTTCCCCCTCCACCTGCTCTCTATCATTGCGTCTCCTGCTATTGGCTTCATCATACTCCCTCACACTGCATCATCAGATATATACCACTTCCCCTGCAATTTTACAATGATGTCCTCATTTAGCCAAATTGTATTAGTAGGGCCTTCAACAATTTACCCGAACGCACTAAAAATTTACCCGACCACACATAAACAACGCTCACCGTAGATAGTCACGCCTGGAAGCCAAAGTAGAAGGCTGCTGACAGTGCTTGGTGGTGGCACCGTTGTAACTAGAACCAATTTGTAGCATTGCTCCGGTTCTTTGCCATCATCCTCGTCTCAGATTGTGTAGGGTTTCAATAAATGACGAACTATTGGTGACCATGCCAACAATTCATTTTCATGCTATGTTACATCAAGGTGGGCACAATCAATTTCATGTACGATCCACTGTCCAAGCAAATGCGATGATCCCTCCAAGTTTGGTTGACGTTGAACCTAACTTATGACTACGCTTCCAAATCTTCTTCTACTGTACATTTGTATGATTTACATCTATTGTTTGATCTAAAAGATATCGGTGGTGCCCTTGAGCTGGTGGTCGCGTCTCTTCGGCCAGTACTCGCCATTATAGTCCCAGAACATGTCACCGGTGACGGGGTGTTTCTTCTGCGTGAACCAGAGAGGCTTGTACTTTTCGCCACTGGCTTCCCGCTGCCGGCGCGCAGCTCTTTGCTTTTCTTCCAACCGGTGCTTTTCATCAGCAGCCTGGTCGTAACGCCCTTCTTCCATATCTCTCTGATCGGGACGCAAACGGGTGTCGGAAGGAGCCACCCACGGCAACAATTTGGGGTCGGGGTTGTTCAAAGTAACGGCGAACGACGTCAAGTTGAACGGCACGTTAGGACGCGGCGCCACTTGCCACACCAAGAACTTGCCGCCCCCGTACGGGTCAGTGCCCACCTTCAGGTCCTGGGACTCAACAAGCAGCAGCTTGCGGTCGTGCGACGAGTCGACCTTCTTGGCGTAGATCTTCGAGTTCCAGTGGCCGCCCATCGCCCATTGGGCCTTACCCTTGACATCGACAGCAGTACCGCTCAATTGGTACGCCAGCTTAGCACTCCACCCTCTTTGCTTCATGTTGACTTCGATGACGTCACCGGTGGTGTGGTTCCGCACTTCCATCAAACCGTAGTTATCCACGGTGGGGTTACCAAGCATAATCCCCACCACCGAGGTGTTGACCTTCTTCCAAGAGTACAATTCTTCTTGCACCACTTCACCGTTGGGCAACTTGACGCCGTTATCGGGTCTGATCTTACAGAACATCTTACCCAAGTGCTTGAAGTCGAAACTGCGCCCCTTGAACTGAGAGTCAACGGCATTTTCCCCGTAGTAGGTCCACTTGGGCGAGTCGGCGTGACAGGCAGAAATGGGAGGGTGGTGACTCACTTGTTCAGTGAACAACCGGTAGTTCTGGTCGGGACGAGCGTACTCAAACGTTTCCCCAAGCAACGGGTTGAAGGGCTTAGCGATACGGCCGATCGTCAGCGCGTATTCAGTAGCAGCGAAGGTCGCCACGTAAATCAAACGCAACGTCAGATCGTCGTACTTGGCAGCCTCGTCAAGCAAGTAGGCACACTCGATGTCTTCGGCCAACCGTTGCAAAAGCGACGACGGCTCGTTGAACAGCACGGGAAGCGTCATTCTCGTCATATCCTTACCAATCATCGACTTAAGAATACCCCAAAGACCCACCTTGGGCCGGTCGTCTTCGTCAAGGGCAAGCTTGGTTCTGGGAGGGTTCTCGTAACCGAGGAACAGACCTTCCTTCTTGATGACGAGAGCCACTTCATCCTGAGCCTCATTGGCAAAGTGTTTGTCGAGTTTGACGTCGCCATTAGCCTGAGGTTGAGGCGCGGCTGCCTCCTGTGGTTGTTGGTCATCCACCGCTTGTTTACCCTGTTGAGGAGGCTGTTGAGGAGGCTGTTGAGGAGGCTGTTGAGCTTCACGGGGGTCAACGGATTCATCCTGTCTACCAGCGATGCCAGCAGCTCCGGCCACGCCAGCTCCAGCGGCAGCACCAGCAGCCACACCGGCTCCGTTGGACGAAGGGTGTTGGCCCTGAGGCTGTTGAGGAACTTGCTGAGACGACCGTTGCTTGGGCAATTGCTGAGGCACACCACCCTGAGGAACGGGGGGAGCTCCTTGAGGGATGGGAGGAGGCGCTTGTTGGGGTACCTGAGGCGGCAAATGCTGGCTTTGTTGGTGGCTTTGTTGTTGAGGGATGGGGGGAGGAGCCTGTTGCGGGATGGGAGGCGGGGCTTGTCTGGGAGCGGCCAATTCCTGGTGCTGAGGGACAACAGCCTCGGTATCCTGCGACGCGTGAGGAGGAGGCGTCGCTCTCGCCGCGTAGGCGTGGTGTTGAGAGTGAGGCGCCAGGGGCACTCTGCGCTCAGGGATCACGTCCATTTCGTCAATGACGGCATCAGAGCCTTCCAACAGGTGTTCTGGGAGGTGAGTTTCGTGGTTAGGGTGGGGATGAGACTCGTGGCTGTGGGGCAGGGGGTGGTCTCTGTCAGGGGTACCCATGTTTCTCGCCATCTGCAGCGGCAGGATGTAACCCGTAGTGGCGTTTTGACCGGATTGAGCTTGAGCCGAGTCAGTATCCACCGCGGCAGTCTTAGCCACAGTAGTAGCGACAATGGGGGTCGTCGACTGCGGCTGAGCCGGTCTCGGGGCAAGCAACTCGCCGGTGTCATCCACTTCGGAGTTGATCAGTTCTTGGCCCAGAGCATCGAAGAACTCGTCGTCCAGGTCGTCCGGGAAGATCTCGGCGACGGCGGTCTCGTCGACGCCGCCGGTACCCAGTTGCGTGGTAAACAACTTCTTGAGTTGCTTTTGGCGGCCGTCGTACTCGTCGATCTTTTGTTCTCGCTGCTGGATCTCGGCCTCGAGCTGGTGGATCAGGTTCTCCCATAATCGGTTCACCTCCAACTGGCGTTCAAGCTGCTTCAGCACCCGGACATCGCGCTGAGCCACGAGCCCGTGGTAGGTGCCAATAAGCTCAGAGATGGCACCCACGGTACGGAGCCCTGCCAGCTGCAATTCGGGCTCGGCAATGTGGCGGAAACATTCCTGTAACGACGCCAATTGCACCTCCAACGCCCGCGTCACCAGCTGTACGTCCAGGGCGAACGTGTCGGGTCCATTTTGCGCGTCGTCTTCCTCGTCGTTGCCCTCAGTTTCCAGGTCAAAGTCCTCCATGCCGTCGTAGTAGCCGGCGGGGGCGGCGTTATCAGTACGGGTGAAATGGGTCGGTTCCACTGGCAGTTGGGCCTTATTCTTGTTCTTGGAGCGTCCCACACGCAATTTACGGCGTAATCTCTTGGTGGTCAGGTCCTGAGTATGGGTCAGATTCTGAGACCGGTCCAGTTCAAACAGACCCCGTGTAGGTAACTGCGGCGGCACCATCCCCGTAGACGAGGTCCCCGAGGTTTGGCGGCGTTTAAGCCCGTCTTTAGCCACGGTGATCGCGTTTTGCAACGTCCACACCCACCGGTTAGTCTCGACCGGGTGGTTGGCGCGTAAGTGCCAGTGGATGCCGTTTTTGCCGATGATCTCAAACTTACACTTTTCCAGCGAGTCGAGGTGGAGCTGGGCGTAGCCCAAGTTGAGCGACCCGCGACAGGCGTTGGAGGCGGTGTCGTCCTGGTTGGCGTAGTACAGCAACACCCCGGCTTGGTCCAACACGAAGTACCGGAGCTTGTACCCGGAGGCGAAGTTGGTCCATTTGTGTAAGTAGCCCTTATAAGTGGGAGCGGTGGCGTGGCGCTGGCCGGCACCGGGTCCGGTACCTTGAATGACGGGGTCCATGATGTTTTGTTCCTGGCTGGCTTCTTTAAGTAAACGCTTCAACTGCGGGTCCAGGCCCTTGTGGATCAACTCCACGGGCAAGTTACCCTTTTTGTCGCGCTTGAACGGGTCGCCGCCGTGTTTTAAGATCCATTCCACCATCTTGACGTCATCCTTCTGGATGAACTCATGCAATACGGTATTGCCGGTTTCCGGGTCGGCGCCGTTGATATCCAAAAGCTCCAGTGCCCTCGGGTTCTGGGTTAAAAGCTTATCCAAGTTGTTGAAATCGCGAGCGCTGAAGTATTGTCTCAATTTCGCCGCCAGCGCTTCCACGAACTTGGCCCGCTCAAATTGCATGAGCTGGGCGACATTGACGTCCTTAGCCACCTCCACAGGTTGTTTCTTATTCAGATTGACCACGGTGTCATTGATTTGCGGCAAGCTGAGCAAGTATTTGACGACGTCCAACCGCAGCGCCGCCGCCGCCAAATGGAGCGGGGTGTTGCCCTGGTCGTCCTGGCCGTTGATGTCGACATCGGGGAAGCGGGAGGGGTTCTCGACGATGTACTGGATCGTCAGAAACGGCGCCACTTGCACGGCGTAGTGGAGGACGGTCTCGCGCAACTTGACGACGTCGGTGGTGGTCGTGGTGGGCTCGATCAGGCGCAACTGCTGGTACAAGGCGTCGAGGCGGTCGGTGGCCCCCAGCCGAAGGGCGTCTAGGAGTTTGAGCCGGAGCAAGCTGGCGTTCAAGGGCAGCGACATCGCCAGAATTGCAGTATGGTCTATGGGAAGAGAAAGCGGGCTCCGAGCAATTGGCGGCAGAAATCAGAGGCCTCCCGGAGCGCGCGCGCGTGGAGCAACGTCAGCAAGCGAAAAGTCACCGACAGACGTGTGCCCCGATGGCAGCGAATCACAAGGGAAAAAAAAATGATTTTAGGGTGAAAAATAAATTTAATTAGAGAGAAGAAAGCGGTAAATAGGAGACGAGAGTATCGTCAGAAGAAGTATACAACGGCTTAACAGATGTGGGGTCATTTGGGACCCTTAGTCATTGTCCCTGGTTACGGGGTGCGGATCGGCCAGTGGGACAGGCTAGTCCGAGGGAGTGGGGATCGATACGACTTGCAGGGCTTTACTACAAACGGAGATTAGCAACTACCCCCGGAAACACCGTTTTAACGCCGTTAGCGTCGGAACGTGTACAAAACACACCGGCGAAGCTGTTTTGCAGATTTGCTTGCGGGTCACTTGCTGGCAGCAGCAGTGGTGGCTGCCTCAGTGGTGTGGGACCCCTATCCGGAAGGCAACCCCCATGTGATATGTCGGCGAATGCCACCGACGAAGTGCAGAGCCGAGAAAAAAAAGTGGCATCAAGACAATAAGGCTGTGGCCGAATAAGCTACGGGTTGCGTGTCAGTTGAGGCAATTTCACTCTACTCGGTGCTTGGCACGCAATATAATTGATCTGGTGATTATGATACCGTGATTCGTATGCCGGCTTTGTGATTTTATGGAGTAAAAGACCGTGCATCGCCTCGTCGAGTCACGCCAATGGCCAAAATACAGTAGTGCTTAGGTGAGCGAATAAAGTTATCCTAGTCAGACAATTTCGTCTCGGTGGCTAAGTGTGACAACTGACTAATCAAATATTGTAAATGATGATAAATTTGATGACTTTTGATGGCTAAATTGTCATTTCAGTCATTCCTGTTCGGTGGTCCCATTCCGTTGCGATGAGTCGCACTCCACCGCTAGCCAGCCCTCTCTGCTAGAACCGATGGCCGACACCACCACTACGTTATACGTGCAAAACCTAGACACCCATGTCGACCGCCAGGTGGCTAAGCACGTGCTCTACATGTTGTTTCTGACGTATTGCGATGTGATTGATATCGTGGTGCAACGGGGGTACGCTCACGTCACCGTACCCTCAGCGACGGCTCCCGTGGCTATCCGCTGTGTCGCTGGCGAACAAGTGCTTGGCCGTCCGATTAAAGTTCAGGAAGCCACCTCTATGTCAAAGAGAGTCGAACGAATGGCATAAAGGAGGTTTTGTCTGTGATTGTGTCAGTGTCGTATACTCTTCAATTACGAGCCGGCTACCAGTGGATGTGAGGAACACAAATGATACACAAGTTTGGTGTGTCTATTATACTCTGCGATTGTTGTTTGAGATGCTTCTCTGGTACTGATATCCATGAAACAGTGGTCTCAACTATGAGGATAGTTCCGCGACGGCTTAATTGAGAGAGCTTTAATGAAACTAATTTAATGAATGATGACGATATTATGACGAACTAAAATACCATCTAATACACAACTTCAATGCTTTGACGGTAGCTGAAATCGTGTATCTCGGACTACACCTGAACTAAGCTTGAACAAAAAAATTGTGCATGAAATAATGAGATCACCGATTAGATAATGGAAGGAGATCATGAAAATGAAGAGAATAGAGCCAAAAAGATACACGTTGTGCCGGCCCCAGGAATCGAACCTGGGTTTGTTCGGGGTTGTGAAACTGACGTCGCCACAACGAACCGTACTAACCACTATACTAGACCGGCTGGTAAAGAGTGTGTAATGCGTGCCGGCCCCAGGAATCGAACCTGGGTTTGTTCGGGGTTGTGTTTCCACAACGAACCGTACTAACCACTATACTAGACCGGCTGACACGGGTTTGTGCCCTGGTCCGCGCCCACTGTGAATCAAAATGAAGTGCAGTTTTGCCGCCGAAATCGCTTATTTTGCTCAATATGAGTGCTTTAGCAAGTTAACCCGTGAGTCATAAAGCTCAGTTCGGTACTTAAAGCCTCATAAAGCTGTGTTCAGTCACTTCGGAACTTAATTATCGTTGTACGTCACACTCGAGATCTAAGTCGATCTCCCTCGGTATTTTGCAAGTTTCATCTGCTGGTAGTCATTTATAATAACTGTTACAAGTTGAATTTTGTTCGTGGTTCTTTATAGTAGCTCTTTACGATCTTTATGAGAAACTAAACTCAATTCTTCATTTTTTTCTATCTGCTATTTTAGGTCCAACCCAAACAATAAAGAACACTTGTACTCAATACGCTTGTGAATAACAACTCAATAAACTCCAAACAGACTCACGAAATCAATACTACGATCTCCAATGCCCTCTTTACTCCTGAATGTGTCAAACTCCGTTGAGTCATACCCCACACTGCCGTACGGCGACAATCAAGCTTCTCTGCAGGATGCCGCTTTTAACAACGGAAAAATCTCTATGGTGGTCACCAGTGCGAAGTTGGCGATCCAGGCATATCTCGGCATCGGAAATTTCCATTTTCCCTTCCTTCCCTTTCATTACAGGAAAATTTGAAAAAACCAGCACTACCCGTATCTTAATACACAGTGCTGGAACATATTATGCCCCCTCCCATAGCCATCGATGCCCATGCGATCAGTGGCATCACCGGCAGCATTTCCATCGCCTGCTGGGTGATTGTGTTTGCCCCGCAAATCTACGAAAATTACGTCAGAAAATCACTGCTGGGTCTTTCCCTTCTGTTTGTCGTGTTGTGGCTTGCTGGTGATGTGTTCAACGTGCTTGGCAGTGTCCTTCAAGGGGTATTGCCGACGATGATTATCCTCGCTGTCTACTATACGCTTGCTGATATCGTGTTGCTTTGGCAATGTTTAGTGTATGGCGACGGTGGAGAAAAGACTGACGGTACTCATCTTCTGCCCGCGACGCCAATGCACGAGGATACCATTAATGCGGTGCTTTCCGATAATGCCCCTCAAAGACCACTGCTCAAAGACGGTTTGACCAAAGTGGCGATGGTGATGCTTGTATTTTTGGCTGGTGTCATTGGCTGGTTGATCACTGACGACCCCAACCGGGAACCTGACCAATTAGTGTACGACCCCTTGGCCCAGTTCTTTGGCTGGTTGTGTGCCATTCTCTACCTTGGGCTGCGAATCCCTCAGATCCTTTTGAACTATAAGCGGAAGAGCGTTGATGGTATTTCATTCATGTTCTTTTTATTCGCATGCTTGGGTAATTTGACCTATGTGATCTCCATCCTCGCCATCGACACCTCGTGGTACTATCTCTGGGTGAACCTGCTGTGGTTGGCGGGCAGTCTCGGCACGTTGGCGATGGATTTCACGATTTTCATCCAGTTTTTCATCTATAACGAGAACGAGCCAGAGGTGCTCATCACCAATAATGCTGCCAATTATGGTGGGGTCTAAACAATCCAACAAAGACTCATGATAAACACGATGATAAAGAAAACAATAGACGAATACAACAAAGGGGTGTAGATATACGAATTTTAAATTGCATTAGGTCCTGTAAGCAATACTTGGCGACGCTTGCTCTAAGAAATTCTGGGAATACACTATTTCTCGGGACACGATAGGGTACGAGTTCCTAGATACGTCTAATCTGGAAAATTATAACCGATGGGTATCAATTAACAACAATCTCGTAATCCATCTGAAGTCGAATACGATAGAGTGGTTAATAGCCTCCTCTGAAAGTTATTTCGTGTTTTGATCTTGTACAAAGACGCGGTCCAGCAAGCATTGTTTAGAATTTGTCTCGTCTTCGAAAGCGAGCATAAACCAATGCGATTTCATTGAGTTCAATCCAACGACTCACATCGATGGTCGTTTTCAATCTTGCAATTATGACATCATCCTCAGGACGCGAATAGTTCACACAAACAAATACCTACAAAATAGTGGAACGAATCTCGCAATTATACAATCACACAAAAGCTTAAACCACCGTATCCAAGCCAAAAAGGGGCTAACATCTTGCTCACTCTTTGAATGTGTAGGGGTAGAAAATTGGACTGAAACAAGAAGTGCTCTCCATTAAAGAATTCCTCTATCAACCATTTCTGAGTAGACCTTCACCTTGATGGTCTTGACACAGAGCCGAACACCGTGCAATGTTGTCAAATTGCCGATATACAGGTATGATGGGCCATTACATCATCTTGGCGTTTATCTGCTTGCTAAGCGTAGCCGACTTACTCTCTGAGTAGTCCTTTACCTTGGTGGTCTTCACAGAGCCGAACGCCGTGCAATGTTGTCAAATTACCGATATACAGGTGTGATGGGCCATTACATCATCTTGGCGTTCATCTGCTTGCCAAGCGTAGCCGATCATAAGGTTACATTACTCTTACTCGAGGATATCCGCAAAGTTGGGCATGGCTCAAATGAAGGATAGAAAAGCAAACGTCGTCAACTAGTGCTTGGACCCAAATCCTCAATGACGCCGCGGATCTTTGTTGACCCACCACTTCAAAATGGGATTCACAGATCCATGGATGGCATAAGGGTTAGATGAAAGCTTATATGTAGGAGGTGTGGAGCTGGCTGAGCACGACGTCATGTGCGTCATGCCGACGAAGCTTTGTATGCCTTTTTTTCTCGGTGAATTCAGCACGGTGGCTGTGGTTTTTTCGCAGAATATGGACTTAATGCCGAAGCGAATGACACCGTACCTGAAGTGAAAGGTACTGTAACGGTACGCCACTTGTGTGGCCCATCACTCTGACGTAACAAGCGGGGAAATTTCCGCCTAGAAAGCACAACGAGTGGGATATAATTAGCAAGCAATGATTGTAGCCAATGCAGTCCTCGTAACGGTGTTAAAACGTAAATATCAATTTTACGGGCGTAGTGTGGAGGCTTAGCCTGTCTGATACTAGGGATTTGTCCAATAGAGAGTAGTTGTCGAGCAAATAGAAATGATGATGAATAGTCTTTGAGGAATTTTGATGGAATTCGTTTGTGACGTGAGAGAGGTGGTCCGATGGTTTTGACCATATCCTAAAAATAGGATTTTGCCACATGTTGGGTCACATAATTCGCCGCTCGAGCGAGCGCAAATATTGTAAAGCGCAAATTTGACAGAGGGCGACCAGTGGTAAAATACCATCATTTATTGCTCTAGTCAAACGGAAATTTTGTCAGAGCATGGCTAATATCTATCTGGGTGTAGCACTGTATGCTAAGGTCCGTTTTCGCTTCTCGGAGGTCGCTGTCTTCAAAACTTCCAAATTTTTAGAATGCAGTAATCCCTGCATGACTGCGGGTTGGCCGCATGAAAAATATACACACTCCCCTCCGAGTACCACTGGGAACGTGGGGAGCTCGGCCCACAGAAGCAACAAGTCACAACTATTTAAACCAAGCGATAGTCCTAGTCTTCTCTTCTTTTCATCCGCAATGAAATCCGCCTTCACTCTCGCTACTCTCGCGGCGATCGCTGCTGCTGCCCAGGAGTTCACCGTCTCCCCTGATTACAATAACTCGACCACCACCATCCCCGTGCCTCCTGGTAGCACTGACAAGGGTCCTAACGAGGGCAAGACCACGACCATCCCTGTGCCTCCTGGTAGCACTGACAAGGGTCCTAACGAAGGCAAGACCGAGACTGTGCCTGGTCCCATTCAGTACACTACCACCACCATTGAATGCCCTGTTTGTGAAGGTGGCTTCAGTACTACCACCATCCCTGTGCCTCCTGGTAGCACTGACAAGGGTCCTAACGAAGGCGAGACCAAGACCATCCCTGTGCCTCCTGGTAGCACTGACAAGGGTCCTAACGAAGGCAAGACCACGACCATCCCTGTGCCTCCTGGTAGCACTGACAAGGGTCCTAACGAAGGCAAGACCACGACCATCCCTGTGCCTCCTGGTAGCACTGACAAGGGTCCTAACGAAGGCAAGACCGAGACTGTGCCTGGTCCCATTCAGTACACTACCACCACCATTGAATGCCCTGTTTGTGAAGGTGGCTTCAGTACTACCACCATCCCTGTGCCTCCTGGTAGCACTGACAAGGGTCCTAACGAAGGCGAGACCAAGACCATCCCCGTGCCTCCTGGTAGCACTGACAAGAGTCCTAACGAAGGCAAGACCACGACCATCCCTGTGCCTCCTGGTAGCACTGACAAGGGTCCTAACGAAGGCAAGACCACGACCATCCCTGTGCCTCCCGGTACCACTGACAAGGTGCCTCCTCCCGCCCCTACCACTCTTGCTGACATTTCGAGACAGCCCGAACCTTCTTCGACCGGTGTGATTGTTACGCCTCAAGTCGAAGAAGCCAACGGTGCTGCCAAGTTCGGTGTTGGTGCTGCGGCTGCCATTGCTGCCATGGCCATGATTGTTTAATGACTTCAAACTTCTTCAATAAATTTTCGGTACTAATCTGATTATAGCTAAAATTTAGTCTAATTCAATGAACTGATTTGTTTTTCGAAGGCAAAACGTAGTTATGCAAATTTTCTTGGCTGCGCTCGTGAAGTTTACGAACTTGCAGGACAAATTCATGATTATTCAAGGGACGCGCTATATTGCACGTCGAAATATCGACTCAACTGAGATTAGGGTTATCGACTTCGGTTTATGAGTTTGTGTTCACAAACGGGGGACCCTGACAATGGAAATGGCATAGCGCCGTACGGCGTTACCTAACCACAAAGGTGGTTTCCATGTCCAGTGGCAGAACGAATATACTTATGTGCACAACAATTATACGCTTCGGGGGTGAGGCTATTGGGAGGTTATGGTTGAGGTTATAGGAGAATTTTGGGTATTTAAGCAAGGGAAACATCCCACGTTTTCTCTCTTCCCGTCTACAAATGCAGCCCACTCTTACTTTCGCTACTCTCGTGGCCCTTGCCGCCGCCGCCAAGGAGTTCACCGCCGTCATCTCGGGTACTTCGAGCTTGGGCAACTTCACTCCCACTTTGAAAGATGGTATTATCCTCACTGGTGACAAGTCCATCACCTTTGTGCTCACCGACGATGGCCAATTGATCGACAAAGACACCGGGAAGTACTTTGGCTTCAACAAGTACAACATCTTGGTGGAAGCCAATAACCCTAGCATCACCTGGGAATTTAAGGACAACACTTTGTCGCCTTCCCCGGCGATTATTGCTTGTCACGCTCATGACAAGGTGTGGATCCTCGGCGCCGAACGTGAATGTAAGGAAGGAGACGCCGAAAAGATTCAGCTCACTGCCACTAACGCAAAGGAGATCGCTGATCCTACTAAGGACGAAGAATACCTCAAGACCCACACTACCCTCCCTCAAGCTGAGGACCCTCATGACCACGATCACCACGACCATGACCATGATCACGGACACGATCACGAACACGATCACAACCACGATCACAACCATGACCATGACCACGATGCAGATGGCCATGACCACGATCACGACCATGATCACGACCACAGCGATGACCATGACCACCAAGAAGCTGGACAAATCTCAGCTCAAGGTGAAGGTGAGAGTTCAGTTGTCACCATCTCCGGTGAAACTCAATACACCACCACTACAGTTGAGTGCCCCGTGTGTGAAGGCGGCTACGCTACCACGACCATTCCTTTGCCCGCTGAAGAAAAACAGGACGTGGCTTCTGAAGCTGTCCCTGACCAGAAGCCTACCACTCTTGCTGAAGAAACTAAGGAACCTGAACCTACTTCGGGTGACGTGGCTGCTCCTCCTCAAGTTGAAGAAGCTAACGGTGCTACCAAGTTCGGTGTTGGCGCCGCTGCTGCCGTCGCTGCTATCGCTGTGCTTGTCTAATGTTTACAGAACCTTAGCTATCTTTATGAAGATATTGGTACTGTTTGTGAATATATGATTGTGTTGTAAGCGTGTATCGTAGTGCAAAAGTTCTCTGGAGAAGCTGTATACTGGCCTATTCCATTCTAGGCTGTTGCTCCAAGGTTCGTATTCGGCCCAAAAATAGAACCTCGTATAGCAGTGGAATGCCAGTGACCAGGGGTTTGAGAGGTAGCTTATAGCTTATAGTCTAAATATCTTGACATACGAGAATGCGGATCCACTTAAATGTCCACTTTCGCCGTGCGGGGTTCATAAAGGATTCCAGCCTTGGGGCCAGTGCAAGCTTTCTCGTATACACAACTTCAGAAAGTTGTTCCGTGAACACCGATTCCAGCGAGGTGTTTGAAGCTGTCAGTGTGAATATTCTTCGGTAGTGACCACTGGACTCCTTTCTATAGTTGAAAGAACACCCCATATCCAGTGCCAATTTTTGTTGTAGACCCAATTCGGGTACATCCACATTTCCTTCCTTGCAGCAGCTCGTTTACGCATAAGGGACGCCGAGTTACCGAAGGTATGCGACTACCGACCAGCATATGTCTACTATTTAAACCACCCGAAACCCCCGAGGTTTTCTTTTCATCATCACAATGAAGACTACCTTTACTATTGCCACCCTCGTGGCCGCTGCCTCAGCTGCCTCCACGTTCAGCCCCTACATCCAAGGGTCCGCTCCTGAGTTGAGCGGGATCCCTCCTTTGTTTCCCGTGGTTGACAACGGCGAGATTGTTGCTGCCAATACTACAGGCGGTCATCAGAAACACATCACTTTCTTGTTCAACGACGAGAACCAATTGGTCAACAAAGACACTGGCAAGTTCATTGGCTACAACAAAGACAAGATCTTGGTGGAAACCGATGAACCTAGCACTAACTGGAAATTGGATGGGTTCAGCTTGACTGTCGAACCCCCCGTGTTTGCTTGTAAGAGTGGTGACAAATGGGTGCTTGGTGAAGAACGTACCTGCGAAAATGGCGACGCTTCGTCGATCAAGTTTGTCATTGAAGGCATCAGTCACAAGAACTCGAGCAGCTCCCTGGAAGCTCCCCCTGTTGTCGCCAACAGTCAAAATGGCGCCTCCCAAATGGGCGCCGGTGCGGCTGCTGTCATTGCTGCCATCGCCATGATGTTGTAGTAGCTGTATACTAATTACGGGAATCTTATACTTGACATGGTAGATTATCTTATCCCTTATCCGCCGCGAAGGAATCACACAAGATGCGATTGCAAGGCGAAATCAGATAGTTTGGAAAGTCTGCGACTTTGATAGGTGATGGCGGGAACTTTGAAGGGATGAAGCTATGCTGGCAAAGTCACACCCCCGCCACAGTATGCTGTTTCTCGTATTCATTTATTTACTTATTTTCCGTGATTACTTCTCATGCGCTACATGCAAGAGTACCAATCTGCACAATTTAAACGTCGCATTAGCGACGGCAAAGGCCCAAATCCTTTCACCAGGTGCTGATCGTAATCGACCAGAACTCCAGTACCTATAGCATTTCTTCATCTTCAATGAACGAAAATATCATCTTCGCTACTTTCGTGGCAGTTGTGTTCGCCCAGGTTACCTTATACTATCATGAATGACCTTTAAAATTCAGAGGTCTCCACAATTATACTTAGCCAAAGTTTAGCCCACTCTGCGTTGTCGACTTGAATAAATCTAAGGTAAGCCTTGCAGAAACACTGACCATTTATATATGGTGAGGGTAGCGCTGGCTGCAATTCTCTTTTTGTTCCGGAGCGTAACATGACCACAATGGTGTCATGCGGGGTATTGCGATGAAGGGAATCTTTCTGTAAAAAAGGTAGAGCTCGCGAACAAAATTTCTTCCCCGTCAATTCAGATCAAGCTCACCCAGCGCAACGTATACAGAGTCAAGAAAAGCTTGTAATTTTAAGAGAAGGCGAACTTGTCCGTACGAATGTTATTTCCGTTTCCACGATTTGATTTACATCATGTCAACTTCAGTAGACTTCGATCACTCCTGTTTCAGTCAAGCGTATCACACAATTCCCGGGGCATATACTGTTAATATTCCCTCATTGCGAAGAATGGGCTTAGCAGACCAAGAATGAGATCGATTTTGTACGGCACCGCGGGTTAAAAGCTGGTGATGTTGGCCAGAAACAGCGATAACGAAACTCCACGTGTTTGTATAGTTAACATTGGCACCTGACCCACGCCCACCAATGAGGCAATCTCCAAATTCACTGTACTCCTAAATCAACGGCACTCACACGGACATTACCGCCAATTTCACCATAACTACATCACCAATAGCTTGCTGTAATTGTATCAAATTTCACAAGGAGGCATGTTTTTCAGTGAATGGGATTATTTCTCGGATTTGTTGTCGCGACACGGCTGAGAGGGAGCCCATCGTTTAAACTTGGAACTTTATGCACCCACGTGTAATTCACGAAATACGGTGATTGTTGATGATAATCGCTGCCGTCGCATCACACGGTTATTTGATTGTCTATAAATAGACTTCACGGCGTTTTCCCTTGCTTCCAACAACAGCGCGCCACTCGTGTGAACCCAGCAACAAAGACTGGTTTTGTGGTGTCAAATCACCTCTTGTGGCACTTGCCTAATACGTACATGAAAAGTGCTCTGTGGTCGCTCTCGTCTCCATAACACCGTCTAACACCTCCAGCTTGGAGACATGCCGTAGCCAAAACACAACACAATATTCACTTAGTCTCCTTAAGACGCTATCGATCTCAGCCCCATTTCCATATCTCTTCCCCTGAGATCGGATGGTCACAGAGTGATTACAGACACTGTCTGCAGAATCGACAGCGGTCACTTAAGCCCAAAAGGCATACGATGTTAGTATATCTCCGTTCAATCAATTCTCGAGACCCTTCGATGCCTTCTCCAAACTAGTGGGAATACGCCAAATACGAAAGCGTTGGCGCGTTTACTAAGCACCAACAAACAACCAACCACAAAAGCTCACGTTACCCGAAGCTTGTACGATTATAAAACCCAAGAAGGGGTATGAGCATATGAGAGCTCACTAAAGTCATTGTAGTACATTTTAAGACAGTTCATTTATGTTATCGTGGTGTTCTTTGGGGGTTGATAGTCGGTTTGATCAATCCCCACACCCCATTGTCCGACCGATTTTATTGTAACATCAAATCAAGTGGGGGTCTCTGTAGGGGTAGAGCTCGACCGCCGCCATCCGCCTCGAACGCGGTGGATACCGTGACCATCAAAACACATTTCACTGAGAGGTACACGGCTCCACTGGAGAACAATAGCGACTCTGGACTCATGCGAGCCAAGAAATTTCGTTTTTGCTAATGTTTGCGTTTCGCGAAACAAACCATAATTGGCACTGAAAAAAAGCGATAACTTATGGGGCAAAGTAAAATGAAGACTACCATAACTTGGCTAGTATCAAGTTAGTATTTGAATCTATTTACTCATTCTCTTCTTTGGCTGAAAGAGTTCGCTGTAAGGGCGTAGTTTTGCTAGAGTTCGTTTTTGTGGAGAAACCGCACTAAAGGTGCAGGTTGCATATTTACGCTCCGATAATAATTTTGGGCAAAACATGTAGGACATTTCCCAAACGCTATAAAAACGGCACCAAAACCCCGTTCAATCACTCCACCACCTCCAAATGAAGACCGCTTTCACTCTCGCTACCCTCGCTGCCATCGCCACCGCCGCCAAGACCTTCGGCGTCCTCGTGTCGTCGTCGGGCACCGTCTTGCACTTGTCGCCCATTGGCATCCAGAACTCGCAAGTGATCACCCCTGGCGGTGACGAGCCCCAGTTGGAACTCAACGACAAACAGCAATTGATCAACAAGAAGACCGGCAAGTACATCGTTGTCGAAAACAACATCTTGGTCGAATCGTCGGAAGCCGGTACCTTGTGGACTTTGGAAAACGGCAACTTGACCCCCACCGCCGGCGCCTTGATCGCCTGTCAAGAAGGCAACTACTACTTGCTTGGTGCCGAGCGTCAATGCTCGGGTGGTAAGATCGACATCCACTTGACCACCGTTGACGTCAAGGACGTTGACGGCTCGCAAGACGGTGACCACAAGCAAGGCGAACAACAACAAGACCAAGGTGCTCAGAACCAAGGCCAACAAAACAACAACGGCACCACCGTCGTCGTTGAAGAGTGCCACGTCTGTCAAGAAAACCAACAAAACCAAGGCCAAAAGGGTGGTGACCACCCCAACGTCGAACAATTCGAAAACGGCGCTGCTTCGGTCAAGGTCGGCATTGCCGCCATGGCTGCTGGTGTCGCCATGTTGTTGTAAGTTTGTATAATGACTACTGATACCCTCTAGTGAATAGCTAATAATATGTGTACCCCCTCCACTACTCAAAAGCCCGTAAACTCCATAAACTAAACCTGGTTCCGAAATACTGTGAAATTGTCGTGCTTTACAATTTCCTGAGAGGCGCGAATATTTTCTGTTAGCGATTGTTTTCTGCCGTATGATGTCGTAATTAACGGGCTTAACCCCCGATACGGACTGCAGACACCGGGCTAATAACAGACGTGCCTGATTATATGTTACATCAATTCTTCGACACATGGCAAGTTACATCATTTCCTAAGAAGACCTATTTATAGTATATGGTTGCGTCGTCAAAGCGTGCTTTGTGATTATGTCATGGTGAAATTCAAAACACCACTGTAAACACAATCCAAAACACAATCCGTAACACCACTCAAAATACAATCCGAAACTCGCCACACGTGATCACGTCTACTTCACCGTTTGTCTAGTCGTAATCATTACTATGTACAGATGAGCAAATATCTACTTGTTGATACCGCGCTTTTCCAAGAAGTCCTTGGCTTCATTGACCTTGGTGGCCAAAAACGGCGACCCGCCTTTATCCGGGTGGTTAGCCATCATCAATCTACGGTGTTGTTCCTTCAATTTGGCCTTGGACAAGTTCAGTTCCTTCAAGTTTAAAATTTGGAGCGCTTCCTTAGCCGACATTTTCGGGCCAAACGCCCCCTTATGAAACGCCTTACCGTTGATGCCTGGTTGTTTCAGCTTGACAAATCCGGAAGCGAAGTAGACGACGCCAAGGGCGCCGAACCCGGTGAGCCACGGGTGGGCCCCCATCCAGTCACACGCCTGGTCAAAGTACCACTCGGCCGAGCCTTCGGGCGCCTGTTTCCGCTGGAGCTGGCCCGTGTACTGGAAGTTTTGCGCGGGAGGAGGGGGCGCTTGTTGCAGGTGGTCTTCCCCGGGGATCGGCAACGTGGGGGCGTTCATGTTTGAAAGGTGGTGGTGGTTGATGAAACGAGTTTCGATGGACGATGAGAAATTTTGTGCGGCGCGACCCCACAGAGGATGGCCACCACGAAGACCGAGTGACCAACAATAAAACCACCTAGAAGCAATCTGTAAGTAAATGAATGGCTTCAGAGTGACGAGAAAGGATGTTCTGAAGTTGTTAGTATAATTTTAAAACGTCCTGTTACGGTAGGTTATCATATTTGTGGGGATGTAGTCGTTGTGAGAAGTAATGTGATTGTAGCAAACAAAATTTAATTACAGTCTTCTGTTATAATCGATAGTTTCATAAATGACTATTCTGAAACAGGCCTACGGTCTCATGATATACATATATCTATTTTGATCACATTTCATTACCATCACTGACCACTCTAAGCTATCATCATCGCGATGAGTGAGGCTCGACCCAAGTCACAATCACCGACACCGGAACCGCCCGAGGCTAAACAGAGGAAGCCTCAGCTGGAAGAGGAGTTTCAAAAGCAAAAAACACAATACTGGACTGATGGTCCCGCCGTCACCGAGCGGGGGTGGCAACTACCACCAGACCCCGACACTTTCACCTGGGACCTTTCGCTAAAACCAAACCGCAACCGGTTGATCCAAGCATTGGAGTATACTTATTTTAATCGTGACTATGAGCTTTGTTTACGATTAGTGACACGTGGTCAACAGCTCTTCGCCGAGGTGAAAGACGATAAACTGACCCGCAAACAAAGACAAGAAGTCGACGACGTCGGCGCTAAGTGTCGCTCAAAACTAGGCATAAATTAGTACCTTCATTAACGTCATTAAATAGAATTTATATCCACACAATTTATATCCACACTCGGAGCTCAATGTAGCTGACTTTGCGCAATTTATACTCGTCGTCAGCGCCCTCAGTGTCGGCTTTTACCGTATCGACAACCTCCTCAGTTCCGGTAAATACTTCGACTTTTTTCGTGCCAAACTCTTGCAGCAACAGTGCCACCGTGGCCATGGCTTTGCCCATCCCCTTGACGGTGAAGAATTTGACCAGTTGGTAGTTTGTGGTTCTTTTGCGGTGGATCCGTTTGAGTTTGCGGTTGATCTGTTTCACTGCTGACACGTAAGGTGTCGTCAGTTTGACCAAGAAAGTCAGGTCGTGTTCCACTTGGGTACTGGGTAGCCTCACGGGGCGCTGCTTCGCCTCCCGCTTCCCCTTCATCGCGCGAGTCAAGATAAAATTGGTGATGATGATAGAGATGGTAAACATCAAAGTAAAAAACACAAAAGAATGAAGGAATGTGATTGAATGTCAATTGGTGATTTGAATCAGTATTTGATGATTATTATAATTTGTTGAATCAAAAGTTAAGGCAATTGGCTTCGACAATTGTAGCTTATTGAGTCATTGGTGGCCATAGTTGAATTTTGTTAGTAGTTGGTGACTGTAATCCTTTGAATTTATTGTGGCCACTACTGTGATATCATGATATTGTCGTTCCAAAGTATGTTTTAAGATAGTTGTCTCATCTTGTCTCTCATACAGATTTCCCACACGCGTAGTGCGAACGCGTCTCTACCATATATCACTTCAACTATTTACTCCATGAAACGAAGGGTTGACGACGACTACGACGACTACGACGACCAAGGGAAACGACACCAGGATCACATGATCCACACCGAGGCCCACCACCGCACGGTGGCGCTAATGATGGCGCTGGCTCGCTATCTCCCGCAAATCACCCCAAGAGAAGATACAACAATACAAGAGGAACTCCCGCCTCAAACGTCATTCCACCAGCGTCCGTTTTGGCCCCAAATCACTCGGGTGGTCAATTAAACGCCTTACTACACGGCATGTCTCTAATAAACGTTACCATTATTGCGACGGGTCGATATTCTATATATTAGTGCTGGTGCAATTCCGCCGCGGCCCACGTCGGCAACACGAACGAGGCCCGATGCATTTCTGGAGAGTAGTATTTGAACGTCTGCTGCTGAGGCAATGGCCGTTGCGGCTGACGTAAGTCCACTGCCGCATCGGGCAGCGCTACCACAAGACCCAACTGGCCGCCAGTATACGACGGCATGTAGCACTGACAATAGGCGACGTTGGCAAACACCAGCCGCGCTTTATCGGTGAGTTGTTTCAAGTACGCCAAGTTGAGCCACACGTTTTCGCTCAGTTGCATGATCACGACACCCTGCGGCGATAACGCCTGTTTGAGCAAACTGAAGTACAGCGTCTCGAAGAACTCCATGGCGGGTCCTTCAGGGTCCAGCAGGTCGGTGATGATGACGTCATAGTTCTCCCCGGAAGCCAGTTGAAGGAATTTAAACCCATCGGTAATGGTAATGGTGGCTTTGGGGTGGTCAATGGCAGTAGTCATTTGTGGTAAATATTTTTGCAGTAATTTAATCACTGAAGGGTCGATCTCCACCATCGTCACCGAGTCAATGACGTCACTGTGTTTCACCACTTCTCGAAGCACACCACAATCACCGCCGCCAATCACCAACACCTTTTTGGGTGATGGGTGAGCCATCATCGCCACGTGAGTGATGAGCTCTTGGTAAGCAAATTCATCACGCTCGGTACACTGGACAATACCGTTTAAAACAAGCACATTGCCGTAAGTGGTCAGGCGGAAGATGAGAATGTGCTGGAATTCCAGCTGTTCTTCGTGGAGGATTTCGGCGACTTCGAGGGCGAACCCTTGGCCGGGGAATGTCGACGAGTCGCGCTCGATGAACCACGGCACGCCGTCGATGTCGTGGATGTAGCGGGGCATCGGGAAACGTGGGATATGTGGGGATATTGAAGTGAGTGTGGATGGGGTCTCGGTGAAGCCATCGCTCCTGCAGGTGGGGAAGTAGACCACAAGTTCGAGTCTTGGCAGTCCCAAAATGGCACAAAAAACCAAACATCATGACCCTAGTTAGGCAATTGTATGTCAACCGTACACGTTGTCCAACTAAAACCAAAGACACCCCCACGGCACTGATGTTGTAGTAATGCACTTTTGTTTACAGGGTGATTCCATGTCGCTGTCCCCACCTAAGCGACTCCCCGTCCCCGCTCTGCAAGATCGTCCCTTTGTCTACACAACGGTGCCTCCGCGACATTCCCGTGTGTTGTTGGCACGCGGCCGACACCCCACTCTCTAGTTTCTCCACCCACTCTTTTTGGTGGTTTCACCCGATTTCACCCATAAGTCACCAATGCTCTCCCCACTCAGTTCCCCGCAAATAACACGAGCTGTTGGGGTAAATACAAGCTTTTGCCGGGTCACGGTGCTACTAATCTGGGCCCCCTCCCCACGGCGTGATCACCAAAAAGCTCATAGTTGGCGGTAGTGGTGGGTGGGTCCTCCATAGACTATTAGTTATACGGGATGTCGTACAAAACGCAACTTATTGCCCCGTTCGGCGAAAAACGTCGGCAGGGTTATCACGTTGCACCTTAAGATTATGCCATTGTTTAAAATCGAATGAGGAAGTGCCTAGCGACGGGCGTAACCCGGGGTACGCTTTTAAAGCTCTTCACAGGACTAGCAAAATATCGCACCCGGGTGGATAAACTGGTTGTTCCGCGGGCTTTTTTTTTTCTTTACAGTGCAATATTACCCCACAACCTGGACAAGAGGTGACGTAAAAATTTTATAAACATGGGGAGATTTAGGTTTGGCTACACCGTATGGGTGTGAGCTCTGGGACGAGACACAATAAACTGTAAAAAAAACCTCCCGGTCGTTATCGTCCGATTGAAGCATGGTTGCAATGGGCCTTTAAAGGCGGTTTGCAAAGGGCTGACGACTTTTTTGGTCTAAAGACAATGGGCTTATCTATCTCGCTGATTAGCAACGCCACCAGTACCACTGTGGTAATTAATAATCGTCGTGTCAGGCTATTCGGCTAATTACGGAGATCAATGGTACGATTCCGGCAGGGGGATACGCTACGACCAGTGCCAGTTGCTGCTAGGATGTTTTTTCCAATGCTAAAATTATCTTGACGCCGTCTCGGCGAAAATGCACCATTGCCTAGTCGCCATGGGTTTAAACCCAGATTTAGCGACGAGCACCCGCCGCTGGCTACTGGATTGGGAGTTTGTCACGTGAAGGAGGAACCCTCCTAACTACGAAAACGTATACGGAGTAAAATATAATAATTCCTCTCGTCTCGGTGTCGGTCCCGTCGAATATATTTCCGAGCATTCTCACGAGCAACCATAGCAATTTGGTCCCGCGTTAACATACCGGTAATCTCTCCAGACGCGGTATCAGCTGACCATGTAAACGCTTACTGATAGACGATACCATCGCCATTGGCGATGGCCATATCATCTATCAGTGGTTGCCAACCACCACTAATCTACACCCTCCATCCTACACCCTACACACTACACACTACTCTTGATGCTACTGATGTGGGCGCTTAGGTAATGGGGCATTGTTCGCGAAAGTGCCGCGAGGGGACGAGCGGGCTACCCCACTTTTGCCCTCGCTGCGCTGCTGCTGCTTGGGGGGGCATGTCTCCTTTGTTGTTTATTCTCCATCCAGGCAGGCCAGCGATACGAACCCGGCGGCGGGGGGTTCCCCCACCACGGGGCTTAGCCGGCAGTTACACGGCGTCACCAGAGCTGATGACAGCTCCATCTGTGGCCCCCTCCCTAATTGCCATTACCTCCGAGACAGCGACATCTGCCCCCTGCTGCTGCTGATCACTGCTGGTTCGGCGTTTGTGCTCTCGCTCGGTTGTTCCGTCGCCTGATGTCGCCGGCGTCCTGTAGCTTTGGTAATGGTGCGTAACTCACTCCCTCCCCCCCTCTTTAAAAGGCAACCCACAATTTTTTTTTTTTTTTTTTTTTTTT